AAAAGTCTACCCAGTGGGTTAGCAATAACATCCTGCCTCACCCACTTGAAGACATTGGAAATCGGTGGCTTTTGGAAGGAGCTCGATTCATTCCCTACTTTTCAGGTTACATCACAACTTAAAGAATTAAAGTTATGGGGTTGGCCTAAGCTCAAGTCTTTGCCTGAACAAATTCAACACTTGACTTCTCTAACATTTTTCAAAGTGAAATCCTTTGACGGAATGGAAGCTCTTCCAGAGTGGTTGAGAAACCTTACATGTCTTAGGTCCCTGGATATACGTTGTTGCAAGAATATGATGTATCTACCTACACTCGAAGCTATGCAATGTCTCACCAAATTAGAAAGCATATTGATTTGGGATTGTCCCCTTCTAAAAGAGAGATGCAACAAGGAGAGTGGCTCAGAATGGCCCAAGATTTCTCATATTCCAAGAATATATGGTATGATTTTCTTTTTCCTTTTATTATTTTTGGTTCGTAAATCAACTGTGCATTCTATTTTCTTCACCTACTTTTCATTTAACTTAATAATTTGTTAATATTCATAATCGTAATTCTTTTCCCGTTACGAAATAATGATTTCTAATATTTATGTTTAAATCTTTAGTTGACCACGAACGGTTCTAGCGCCAAATTCAATAGTCTGGGAAAGTATCATCCTGAAATGCGAAATAGTTGAAACTTGAAAGTGGTGTGAGAATTGTTGTTGAGAAAATGATTAAACTCAAGTGAGTGACTCAGCATCTTCTCTCCCATATATATATATATATCACATTTTCTTTTGCTATGGCACTGAGCAAAAGTCGCTTTTGATAAAGTTCCTTGAGAAAAAGTGCGGAGAGTTGATTGAAGCTATATATGTGCTACACATCACCACCATTGAAGAAAAGGTGTCCAGTTGTCTCACCTGAGGGAATATTTTTTGCAATGGGGAGCAAACTGAGTCCAGCATTATGTGACACATCAGTATTCAGTATTCAAAAGCACTGCAATTTCTATAGGTATACATTCCACTCTGTATATTTAAATCTTAAAAAAAAAAAAAGTGCACAAATTTGTTTCCTCTTCAGGCCTGTAATTATAGAACAACTTCTACGTTTGTGAAATGCAGGCTCGATCAAAGAGACAGACCAACGGGTCATTATGACCAAACACCAATTCTTAACTTAAGAACCTATAAAAACTAGCAGGTGTGAAATTTTAGTTTTGAAAACATTCGTTATTTTTTGTATTTTAATTTGTCAAATTCTGATGTTGGACTGTTGCTAACCTGTAGATTCTTAGATATTCCAGTGACTGATGGCGGGTGAATCCAACACAAGCCACCAACTCAAATGATCACAAAATCAGGACATAAGCCACAGGCTGCTCAAATTTTGTGTCCCGATCAGAAGTGATTGTAGTTGGAGTATTTTGGTAATTTCCTTCTATGTCCAGAGAAAACAATAAATTTATTCAAATTTTAGAATGGGTGTCCAAAGATGGATTTTGGGTGAAAACATGTGCTCACTAACACTTGAAGCACCAAGCCCAACATCCCAAGAACCAGGAACCAACCAAGTCCAACTTAGCCTATTGCTCCACTCCAACCCAACACCCCCTTTCTCTTTCCTTTTGTTTTTGTTTTTATTTATTTCATATTTATGTAACATATGATCATACTGTTATGAAAATAGTGTTTTAGAATGTTGAACTCAAGTGTACTGCTATGCAACAAACTCAGAAGCCCTTTTTATTTATTTTATAAATGTTGAAGCTTGGAAATGTTACTATCAATCACAGATCATTGTATTTGCTTCTGTTTTCCACTCATTTAATTACCCAATTACTTGTTTTAAGCTAGACAGTTTGTGACATTTTAGATTAATCACAATTTGTTAAAGGACTCTGCATGGTTCTATTAGGAATTTGGGTTACTTCCTCGTTGCGAATTGATGTTGAGGTGAAGAACTTCGACTTCGACTTCCTTCAAATTCTAGTACTTGGTACTTTTCATTTTTGTTACACCCTTAAATTAAGCTTTTTTTTCCTAAGCACTCACCAAACAATGTAATTTTCCCTTTTTTTACAAAAAGAAAATGATCTATTTTAAGATATATCTATCTAAGAGTTTTGTGAAATTGCATGAATGAACTTGGTTGATTCATAAAATTTGCTTAAATCTTCATTTGGAACAAAGATATAATAACAACATTACATAAATCATTAGCAACTCAAAGGACGTGGAGTGCCCTAGTGGTTTGCTCTCCCCTCACTGAGTAGTCCCACGTTCGAAACTCCCCTCCTTTTCTTAGAATAGAATATCGTTATAATTCAAAAAAAGAAAAAAGAAAAAAAGCAACTCTTATTTTCCTAACCTAAATGACATGCTTACATTGGACCTACAGTAATGTTCCTTTCTTTTTCTTTGTCTTTGTTAATAATGTTCCTTTCTTTTTCTTTGTCTTTGTTAATATGATGATGTGGCACGGTTCTTTTCTCTAATTTCAAACAAATAAATGTCGTGGAGTTAACTCTAAGAACAATACAATCAATTCTTAATCATCACAAACGTCTGGTCCTCTTTAATTAATTGATTATCAGATACGTATGGACAAATTCATATATTTATCTCTCCATCACCAACTCCCTGCCCCCAACAAACCATCCTATGTATAGCTGGGTTCTCTCATTTTCATTATTCCTAGAATGATAATGGGTATTATATATATAAATATAAGTATTCTTTTATACTAGTGATTGTTGTGTAAATTATTTTAACATATCGAGAGAGGGGATCGAATTCGGGTGAACAAAAACAAACAAAGCCCTGATAAACTGACATAACTCAAATATGCATAAACTGCACTATGTTTTCATCATTTACTAATCACTTTTAAGTATAGTGAAGAACTACTCATTCTTGTTATGTGCAACACGTGTTGTATTTTATGGTTAACTTTTAATTTGTAATATTAAAAAAAAATATTACATGTGAACTACACCGTGACTATAATGGCGAGGAAAATACAAGACTTGATTTTCAACTGAATTTAAAAATATATGAAATTTAGCTTCAGTGACAGAGTACTTATTCTCTTACATCTTCCACAAGAGTTTGATTTTTTTTGTTTTCATCCCCTTTGAATTAGGAGATAAAATTTAACAACTACCCAAATACTAGCTATAGTAGTTGGTGAATACGTGCCTGTCTGTTTGAATTTTGAACCACACAATAGTTTTCTTGATATTCCACATGCTCTCCAATCTAAACCCATTTTTCTATTAGAAAGACACCAACATTCACCAATCACACATCATAGCATAAAACAAAGAAAGACACCAACATAAAAATATGCATGCATCATACGTGGAATGATAATATTCCACATGCACATGTTACCTACCATCTCAGAAAATTCCAAAACCCACATAAAATAAAGAAAATGATGTCGAAATCCCTCGGATTAATAATTACGTGGATTAATGTCTTCTAGTGCTTAATCTGTCCTTTGCCAATATTATAGAGTCCATTTTCATAGTGATTGTGTCTACGGATTCCGTGCTTTTGTATTTAGTCACGATGTCTACCTACCAGAGAAATAATTTAAGCCACTAATTAATTGGCTAAAAATATGAAAACCCACATAAAGTATGGCAAATAGAGCTCTCTTGGGAGTACATATGTAGCTTTTTTGTTGCTAGCGCTTTTGCAACTTTGGTCAAAATAATCGACACAAAGCATGTCTGGCTTTGCTGCAAGCAAACACTTCAAAAGCTGTACATGCATGCCTGACTTTATTATTACTTTGAGGGAGCTTTTTCAAAAAGAATTTGTGTTGAGAGAAGGGAGAAAGTCTAGAAAAGAATGTTTAAAGAATGCATTCCGTAAGTACAAAACATGGTTAAAGTTGATGGACACTATTAAAGAAACTTGCAATATGCACATGTGGTGTTCTCGAGCTTCGAGCCCGTGACTAGAGTACAAAGGAAATGCATGCGTGTAAGATTATGAGAAAAGACTCAAATTATTGTAGATTCTAGAGGAGCTTGAAGTGGAGTATATGTTTTTTTTTTTAAAATAAAAAATAAATACAAGCGATATTAAAACAGGAAGAAATGGAACCAAGGATGTCAGATGCAAAAGTAATTGCTCTTGATCATTTGAGATATAAGCCCCTTATAAATATATGATGTTAATTAAAAATTAATTTTAGAATTAATATTTTAATTCATATATTTTTTTTAATAGAAGATTCACAATCTGATGAAACTCAATTAGGTTCATTCTTGTCTGAAAAGTGAGGTCTAGATTCAAGGAAAGAACCAGCAAGAAAATATGACTTGATATACATCGAATTCATCCAACTGGAAGTCACTCAACTTTCAGCGCCGAATAATTGAGAAGCACATGGTGATTGTTAAAATTTAAAAAGGTCTTTCTTTTTAATGAATTTTTTTGGGAGGAGCTTTGGATCTTGCATCCAGGAATATATATATATAACAGTAACTACTCATTTGTGCGTCAACTATTCATTGAGATCTCAATGATAATATGATAATTGAATGTTGCTCCTCTTTCTATGGGGTTCCTACTTTTATTAGTTGTGATTCATTTTCACTTTTCAATCATTTCGTTTTCATTATTTGTACCCAAGTTTTATCTAGGTCATTCAACTAGTTTTTTGGTTTCTATTGTCCTCCTGCTCGTTTTTTGGTTTATGCCGTCCTCCAACTCACGCATGTTTCAATTTTGTCATTCCGTCAGTTTTTTCTTCACTAATACGGATCCAAATTGACGATTTTACTTCTCAAATAGGTGAAAATTGAGACGAAATGAAGAAATTGTAATGTGCGCAAGAATAGAAAGACGACATAAACTGAAAAACAAGTTGGAAAACCAGAACAAAACTTGCGTATAACTCAAGAACCATTATAATAAATAAACCTTAATATATATATATATATATATATATATGATCTTCAGAAGACAGCCATCAACTTAATTATTGCATTTAAACAAAAAAGTATCTTATATATTAGAAGAGTCCTATCACGCACACAACATGAAAACATTCACTTCATGCGCAAGGAATGTCGACAGCTCGCTTACACATGCTTCCAAAAAATTGGTACAGTATTCACTTCAACGGTCCAAATCAGCGATTCCAATTGTCTAGTCTCATCACATTATTTATATATATGGTCCATGTCCATGATGATCTTGATGAATCCAAGGACCACCCTTGTGCCATCACATCTGATCCGATATGAATACGACCTAAACCAACCAATCCCATGAAGCTGACTTAGAGCTACCGGTCAACACAAAAAAAACATTCACATAATATATAACGAAGGGCTATTTCAATAATAATGTAGGGCTACACAATTGATGGGGTCGTACGTCTTCCTCAACGTAGCCATTTCCATTAGTTAACTAAGAGACATCCTCTGCGGTCTGATAACCAACCACCAGCTAATTTTTCCTTCTAATTATGAAAAAATTCTCATGTATGTTTGGAAATTTGTGATTTGCAGAAATTTGGACAGTGCAGCACTTAAATTCCCATGGTTTGTATTCTACTAAAAGTTGTACATTTTATTTTATTTTAATTCTTTTTTTTTTCTATTCTACCCTTATTTTACTTTTTTTTTTCTTTTTTATACTTAATTTTCCAACTTGCACTCCATTGTTTAGGCAAAATTATATGGTCCACTTGACGCAAACACTTATGTCCTTGTAGCCATAATATATACATATTTTTTTGGAAGAGTAATTAAATTTGAATGCATAAGACAATAAAATACAGAGATGGCCAAAGTGACCACAAAGAAACAAAAAACAAAGTAAATACCAGAGTTCAAATTAAAATCACAGCATGAGTTGCCAAAAAAAAAAAACACGTTTGGTGGCTAGGAAAATTCAACCATTCAAGTGCAAACAAAAGTTATAAAGACAAATAAACCTTGCAGTCATATCAATCAAATCCAACCAAATTGATTCAATAATGCTTAAAAAGTATGAAAAACCCAAGAGAGTGTAAGAGGAGAAAAAATAAAACTTTTATGTAGAGTAAATGTAGAATAGGAAAAAGAAAGAACAAAAATTAATAAAATTGATTAAAAAAGTATTAAAAAATAAAAAAGAATGTAAGTGGAGAAAATATGAATGGGAAAATCAACTCCCTTCCACAAATGTTGTGGAATAATTTGAAATAATATTCCATTATGCTTTTGTACTTCACTAAAAGGCCCTTTTCAATGATCGGTGAAGGGGGCAGCATCTAAAATTCACAGGACAGTGCAGTTGGCTAGGATAGCAACCATTGCTTTAAAAATAAAAAAAGTACAAGTTAATACAGGAGATATTAGGTGAGGATGAATCAAACATAAGACCAAATTATGAATTAAAAACAAAACTTCGTATGTTCATAATGTACTAACATATTTTTAACCATTTAAACTACAAGCCAAACTAACCCCATCAAAACCAATTTGATTGACATTACCAGGAAAATCCATCAAATACTTTTGGCCTCCCAAGGAAAAACAGAAGGGTACTACTTCCTCCATCCCTACAAGGAGATACTCCTGCAAATTATAGTTTGACACATATATAAACATAATTCATCAAAAACATAAAAAGAAAAACTCATGCACATAAGTCACACTGCTATTAGCAGGAATGTAGGAGCTTCTACTTACTACTTACTACTTACATGGTAAGGAGGGAAGTATTTATAAAATGAAATCTTCAGATCCCAAACCGTCTTAAAAAATGAAAAGACAAAAACCCAAGATTTTCATCACCTTATACACAAAAATAAGGGGAAAAAGGAATCTATATATCCAACTTTGCATTATATATTTCATCTTCTTATATAAGAAGATATTTTTAAAAATAAATTCCACTATATATTCCTGACAATCCCAGGATTACTTTCACAATTGTTAGGATACATATCAATGCTCAATCGCAAATCTTAATGAAACTAATAAATCTTAATGAAACGAAAATTAATAAATATGCATATCCAAATTCTAGACACATATATGCTTTTCCCTACCCAGATCTAGATTGAACTGAGCCATACATAACAATGCGCAACAGCCCATATATATGATTGCTTTTATTATTGGACAGAATGGGACAAAAGTTATCAGAAATGGTATCAAACTTTGTTGTGCGCCTTAGAGATTTTCCACTAATAAAGATAGAGCTCAGATTAGATCAAATTTTCAGACACAGCCCCCTTTGTGGCTTTATTTTCCCTGCAGAACGCAGCCTAAAATAGTTGTAAGCTTCTTGATCAAGAAAAAGTAAGACCAAAATTGCAAGTCGTATTTCCTCCCTTTTTCCCTCTTCAACTTTAAAAATTAGAGGCATATAGTTATTTCACACGTGTATATATCGTTCATCTCACAAAATCTGATGATTTATTCAGTAGGCAAAAAGCGTACGTCTATAAAACTCATTGTATGTAAGAATTTCGGTACCTTTTTTTGCGGTGAAACTGAGTGGGGATCTCAATATCTTTCCTTCTTCAAACTTTGGCAGACACTATGGAGTACCATTTACCTTTGTTTCTTTAAAACTTTTTTAGATCCATCACAATATTTATATCACATAGCTTTGTTTGCGTCTCACATTTGGCTCTCTTATAAGTTGGCATAAAAAATCAGTATCAGTTTATATATAACCAGCAAAAATGACCGTCCAGTATCAGTGTATATAAGCAGCCAAAAATGACCGTCCCCATTCGAGCTCTCACGTGATATTGCCTACCCTTCCAATAAAACACACATACAGACACTCTTGAGTGCCAAAATATATATACCTACAAAATTTTTGTAATCATATATACTACACAAATTCATTCTCTCTCTCTCGCTCTCTCTCTCTCTCTCTCTCTCTCTCATAACCATGAAAAACACTTGAACTTCATTGTCGTTGTGGTCCGCGATCTCGGAATTAAAGTGTACTCTCATACTTGCCACAGCCTTTCTCACGGAACTTTATTTATAATTGAGTTCTCTTGAACTCATTATATTAATATTATGAGTCTGAGAAACTCTGAGGTCAGTACATAGAAGAAAAAAACATCCGTCAGCAAAAAACTACAAGAGAGAGACAGAGAGAGAGAGACTGAAGCTTTAAGCTGGATAGAAGCATGGGTTGGGAAGACATGCTTGATTTTCAGACTGCTATAAGTAAGTTTTATCAGCGTTCTTCTTCTTCTCTTTGTTTTTGTCATTCTTGTTGCCAGTTTTCTTGGTGTAATCGTCGTCAACATCACCAAACTAATGGAGAATAAGAGTTTAATGGGTTATTCTTTAAATAAATAAAAAAACCAAAATTTTAGAACGGAAATGACTTTTTGCTATTTGGTCAAGAGCCCTCTGTAGCTTTGCCTCCCTATTTTTATAAAGTTCATTATAGCTGACCATGTATATAGCTAACAATACCCCGATATATTTGCCAAGTAGTGTTCACAAGCTCTTCATTAATTTGTGTTATAGACTTGACTGGACCTTTTGGTTTGTGGTTATAGTAGTAGTTTTGATTAATTAATCACACTTTTCAAGTCCTGATTGGTTATTGTCTTTGTTGGCCAAAGATATAGAGAATGGATAGGGGTGGGTTTTTTTTTGTAATGCAGTGTTGTGGTACTCTTTTTCTTTGACCGGATTTTTCTTTGGGGATTTTTAATGGCAAGGTTTTAACGACGCCACATTTTCACACTGCACATGGATCCGGTATTTCTAGTTGTATGTTTTCTTCGTCCTTGGTGGATGAGAATTTGTCCATTTTATACACATTCATCATAATTTTTTATCGACTTAGCGCACTCTTACACATACTAAAGATGAATCAAACTATGTGGCTATGTAGAGATAATGATATAGATGAAACTTCAAGTTCTTATGAAGGGAATTTTCAAGTACAGTATGAGGATTAGAAGCAGTGAAATCATACAGCATATCAGAAGACATGACTACAGATTTTCAACAAAATGGTAGCAGACACACACTGTACAGATTACAGAACTGCTTAATTGTAAAAGTTGTGACGAGCTCACTGTAGGGTGTTTGTACCGTCACAAGAAAAAACATTAAGGAAATACCTTTTTTGTGTAGCAGTAAAACACTTTTCAATCTTGATGAGCTTTTGCAGTTACAATAATATATTCAGTATTATCAAAAGGTTGCAGATACATTCAATGCAGAGTCCATGTGGTTTTAAAAGACAGTATTAAGGAAAAAAAAATTTTGATTTGTATAAATTACGACGATTACTTGCACTACATTGGAACGAAACATGCGTGACCAGATTTGTTTTGTGTGGCAGATTTTAGGCTTCTTCAATTTCAGTCAGAATGGCTCCAGCAAAATTTGCCCTGCTTGTCTGAGCACACTAGCATAGTTATGCAACTTAGTTTCCTTGGAATCTCAGCACTACATTTTCTGAAAAATAATATGGGCCTAATCTGCAAACAAAGAACAAAGTTCCCAGATCAAGGCACAGAGAAGCATGGCATTGGTGTACGCTTCAGCACCACTCACAAAACCAGCATCGCTTGTTCTCTTTTTCTGATGGCGACTCATTTCGTAGTGCTACTGTTGTTGCTCAATGGAAGTGTGAGTTACTGCAACCATAAAGTTCGTGCCTATTTATCGGAGAGTATGCAAGTCATATCATGGACAATTTCATCTGTTGCAGTATATTGGATTGTGAATATCAAGTCCATCAAGTTCCCTTGGCTACTAAGAGCATGGTGGCTTTGCAGCTTCTTCTTGTCCATTATCTCTGTGGCTGTTGATACTCATCTCCGAATCACGTACCATGGTGAGCTTAGATTACAAGATTATGCTGGCTTCCTCAGTCTTCTTGCATCCATCTGCCTGTTTGGTATTTCAATACGTGGGAAGACAGGACTAACCTTCATTGTTCCAAATGGCATCACTGAACCACTTCTCAATGGAAAAGGTGATAAACATTCACAAGGGAAAAAAGAGTCTCTATATGGAAAAGCTACTCTTCTCCAACTCATTACATTCTCTTGGCTCAACCCCTTGTTTGCCGTTGGAATCAAGAAACCCCTCGAACCGGATGAAATCCCAGATGTCGATATCAAAGACTCTGCTGAATTTCTGTCTCACTCATTTGATGAGAGACTAAAATATGTTAAGGAGAGAGATGGAATCATAAATCCAACAATCTACAAGACAATCATCTTATTCATCTGGAAGAAAGCAACAATCAACGCAATCTTTGCTGTAATAAGTGCTGGAGCATCATATGTTGGCCCATACCTCATTGATGACTTTGTAAAGTTTCTGAACGAGAAGAACACTCGAAGCTTACAGAGTGGCTACATTCTTGCACTTGCCTTTCTAGGAGCTAAGATGGTTGAGATGATAACACAGAGGCAATGGATTTTCCGGGCTCGAATGCTAGGCCTTCACCTTAGAGCTGCACTTATATCTCAAATTTACAAAAAGGGCTTAGTTCTGTCAAGCCAATCCCGCCAGAGCCACACGAGTGGAGAAGTCATCAATTATATGAGTGTAGATATCCAAAGAATCACAGACCTCCTCTGGTACTTAAACATAATATGGATGATGCCCGTTCAACTCTCATTAGCAATTTACATTCTTCATACGAACCTTGGCATGGGTTCAGTTGCTACATTAGCAGCAACATTTGCAGTACTGCTTTGTAACATACCAATGACTACGATCCAGAAAGGATACCAGACTAGGATCATGGAAGCAAAGGACACCAGGATGAAAGCCACATCAGAAGTTCTTCGAAGCATGAAGACAATCAAACTTCAGGCATGGGATACTCAGTTCCTACACAAGTTAGAAAGCTTGAGGAAAATAGAGTACGATTGGCTATGGAAGTCACTAAGACTGTCCGCAATTGGGGCTTTCGTCTTCTGGGGATCACCCACATTTATCTCTGTGGTGACTTTTGGGGCATGCATGTTTATGGGGATAGAACTCACAGCAGGCAGAGTTCTGTCAGCATTGGCCACCTTCAGAATGTTACAAGACCCTCTATTCAATCTACCTGACTTGCTCTCCGCGATTGCACAGGGAAAGGTTTCCGCAGATAGAGTAGCTTCCTATCTCCAGGAGGATGAAATTCAGCAGGATTCCATTGAGCATGTTCCAAAAGATCAGATGGAGTTTGCAATTGAGATAGAAAATGGAAGGTTCAGCTGGGATACTCTGTCAAGAGGCATAACTCTTGATTCAATACAGTTAAAAGTGAAGAGGGGTATGAAAGTGGCAATTTGTGGGACTGTAGGATCAGGAAAATCTAGCCTGCTGTCATCCATTCTTGGAGAAATACAGAAAGTTTCAGGGACAGTAAAGATCAGTGGTACCAAGGCTTATGTTCCTCAATCTCCATGGATACTGACAGGAAATATCAGGGAGAACATTCTGTTTGGAAATGCATACGACAGGGCCAGGTACGACAGAACCATTAAAGCATGTGCTTTGGAAAAGGATTTTGAGCTATTCTCCTGTGGTGATCTAACAGAAATTGGAGAGAGAGGAATAAATATGAGTGGAGGACAGAAGCAAAGGATACAAATTGCTCGAGCAGTTTACCAGGACGCCGATATATATTTACTTGATGACCCTTTTAGTGCTGTTGATGCTCACACAGGCACCCAACTTTTTGAGGTTAGTCTTCCTGGACTTGCTGTGTCAGGAGCAACAACATGAGGATTCTACTTAAAGTAGATCATGTTATCAAACGTTTCCTAGTTTGATGAAGCAACAGCCTGGTGATTATGAAACTGATTATAGTTTGTACACTCTTGCAGGACTGCATGATGGGAATTCTCAGGGAAAAAACTATACTATATGTCACCCACCAAGTTGAGTTTCTCCCAGCCGCAGACTACATTCTGGTAAGCGTATAAATTATCTCTAATTCATCAGTCTTTTTTTTTTTCCCTGTTTGGTAGGATATTTCCTTAGTCACTTGTGAAAATGGACCACGGAAAATATACAACATAAAATGTTACTGAAAAGAAGCTTATGTTTTGATCCCTACTAGTCAATGAGCAACCTAATAAATAATATGGGTTTGATAATATATACGCTTCATGATTCCAAGTTCAAAGAACCAGCCACAATTCTTCGGGTTGTGAGGAACTTGAATCAGAGTTAAACTAATATGGGTTTCAACAGGTTTTGAAAGATGGAAAAATCGCACAAGCTGGAAGATTTGAAGAAATTCTAAGACAAAATATAGGATTTGAACTTTTGGTTGGTGCTCATAGCCGAGCTCTAGAGTCAATCCTCACAGTTGAAAATACTAATGCAACTTCTCAAGGTCCAACACCAGACGGTGAATCCAACATTGAGTCCACTTCAAATGCTGAACTACAACAGACACGACATGAATCAGAGCATAATCTCTCCCTAGAGATAACAGAAAAAGAAGGAAAGCTAGTGCAAGATGAAGAGAGAGAAAAAGGAAGCATCGGAAAAGAAGTTTACTGGTCTTATTTGACCACTGTGAAAGGTGGAGTGCTTATACCAATCATACTCTTGGCACAGTCATCATTCCAAATACTACAGGTAGCTAGTAACTATTGGATGGCATGGGCTTCACCTCCTACAAGTGAGACTGAGCCTAAACTGGAGATGAGTTCCATACTACTTGTTTATGTACTACTTGCCGTTGGAAGTTCGCTTTGTGTGCTGCTGCGATCGTCACTAGTAGCAGTAGCAGGACTTTCAACAGCACAGAAGCTCTTCACAAATATGCTACATAGTGTACTCCGAGCACCAATGTCATTTTTTGATTCAACCCCAACTGGAAGAATCTTAAACCGGGTAAGTTATAATTAAATATGCATGATTTTGAGCTCACATCACTCTCCAGAAGGACCACTACTACCCCAAGGAACGAGAACCAATAATTCATGGTACACAGGCTCTTATAATTCAAACTCAAAATTTGGATTTATGATCCAAAATAAATTCAGATGTTAAAGAATTAGTAAATACCTAGAGGAAGTCAACTGAAGGAGCAATAAGTCAACAAATCAAAATATAAATGTCTGATAGAAGAAATGTATCTGTGTGTGTGTGTCTAAAAGAGAGGTGCAGGACTGAAAAGCCCTTTATTTCATTGTGCAGGCATCGACTGATCAAAGTGTTCTAGATTTGGAAATGGCAAACAAATTAGGTTGGTGTGCTTTCTCAATAATACAGATCTTAGGGACCATTGCAGTAATGTCGCAAGTAGCCTGGGAAGTCTTTGTAATCTTCATTCCAGTAACTGCAGTCTGCATATGGTACCAAGTAAGGACTTCTATCTCCTCTTAACATATAATCAATGTAAACATGATTAGTTAATTTTAAGCAACACAAAAAAAGGAAAACAGAATGGAAAATTCCCATACAATCTCAGTGTTCAAGTTCCTCTTCTAAACAACAACAATAAATCATGGATATATTATGATATATTATAGTATTAAAACTTAAACCGTGAAACTTTTCAATAATCAGAAAAGCAACACATAAAACCATTAAGGAAATGACGTAAGAAAAGAAAATTGAACTTGTTTGAAATTCTACTGATCAAGAAAACATGATACGAATGTTAAGTGGCTTCCAAATGAGTCCTCTGTGTGTGCGTGTGTGTGAATCTGGATGAATGATCTCAATTAGGGGTATTGACTGAAAATTTGATAATTGTTACTTCAGCAATACTACATACCAACAGCACGAGAACTGGCACGGCTATCAGGCATAGAAAGAGCTCCAATCCTCCACCACTTTGCAGAATCACTAGCAGGAGCAGCAACAATCCGTGCTTTTGATCAAAAAGAGCGTTTCAGTCATACAAATCTCAGTCTTATTGACAACCACTCAAGGCCATGGTTTCATAATATGTCAGCCATGGAATGGCTTTCCTTCAGGCTAAATCTACTCTCCAACTTCGTTTTCGCCTTCTCTTTGGTTTTGCTGGTGACCCTGCCCGAAGGAGTTATCAATCCAAGTGAGTATCATGATCATTCAAACAAGCAATCTCATTCATCTGCTGTTTTGTTTCCAGGGCCCGACTTTTAACAAACAAAATTACGTTTCTTTTGGGAAAGAAAAACTATTTAGTCATAAGCAGAGCACTTACACAGAATTAACTGCGTATTTTTTCTTTTCATTCAAACAGGCATTGCAGGGTTGGCGGTAACATATGGAATAAATTTGAATGTTTTGCAAGCTTCTGTTATATGGAACATATGCAACGCAGAAAATAAGATGATCTCAGTTGAAAGAATTCTACAGTATTCAAACCTAACAAGTGAAGCACCTCTGTTAATTGAAGAGTCCAGGCCACCAATCAATTGGCCAGAAGTAGGAACAATTTGTTTCAAAAATCTGCAGGTAAGCCTCTGGAAGATTTTAAATCATGGGGACCAAAAGTTTAAAACTTTTCATTCAACTGTGCACACAAAAAATACTGCACACTCCTTATACGCACATTTGGCTGCCGTGCAGATTCGTTATGCTGAACATCTTCCATCTGTGCTGAAAAACATTAGCTGCACATTCCCAGGACAGAAAAAAGTTGGTGTTGTAGGAAGGACAGGAAGTGGGAAATCAACCCTCATACAGGCCATTTTCAGGGTAGTTGAGCCTAGAGAGGGAAGCATTATAATTGATGATGTGGACATTTCCAAGATTGGCCTTCATGACTTAAGATCAAGGCTTAGCATCATTCCACAGGACCCAACAATGTTTGAAGGAACAGTTAGAGGAAACCTTGACCCGCTAGAGCAATATTCCGATAGTGATGTTTGGGAGGTAATTATTGTTATCAAATAAGCATTAACAAGAATGATGAGTTATTTATTCCACAAATGAAAATTACTTCGAATCGAGAGTCACCTTTATAACTATTGAAAACAAACTCCCAAATTTTCAGGCTCTAAATAAATGTCAGCTAGGTGATCTGGTGCGTGCAAAGGAACAGAAGTTGGATGCCTCAGGTCAGATTCATTATTTCGGACTGTTATTAAACATAAGTTCTCTAGTAAACTTCTAACATGCATGACTCTAACAGTGGTCGAAAATGGAGAAAATTGGAGTGTGGGTCAAAGACAGTTAGTTTGTCTTGGAAGAGCCTTGCTAAAGAAAAGCAAAATTCTGGTGTTGGATGAAGCAACAGCATCAGTTGATTCTGCAACTGATGGAGTGATACAGAAGGTCATCAGTCGAGAATTCAAAGATCGAACGGTTGTTACAATAGCTCACAGAATCCACACAGTAATTGACAGTGATCTCGTTTTGGTGCTCAGTGATGGTAAGTATAAGCACAAACACATGCACACACATGTATGCAAGCATGCAATATATAGGAAACTAGAAAGCCATAAACACAATGTACACACCATATTAATTCAGCGACGTACATTAAGATAATTGCAAGAGAGTTTAAGCAATTTTTGTGAAAACAGGACGGGTTGCTGAATACGACACGCCAGCCAAGCTACTAGAGAGAGAAGAGTCCTTATTTTCTAAACTCATAAAGGAGTACTCGATGAGATCCCAGAGCTTCAACAACTTAGCAAATCTACAAATTTAAACCCTGCTTGATGGATCAATAGGAGATCCCAAGGCATAATTCAAAGAACCATGAATTGGGCTGGGATCATTTTATACCAATGTCTGAAACTTTGATTGGAGCCAAAAGAATTGTAGCTGTTATAGTCACTTCTACAATGTAAACTAGAAGCCCAAATTCATGTTTCTTCTCATAGATGCAGCATTCAAGAGATTATGAATTTTATATCAATATCAAAATAAACAAAAGGTGTTCTCTGGGGGATCTGTTAGACCATCCAATATCTATATCAAGTTTGTAAGTAGCAGAGTTTACCAATTTAAGCATTTTGGCTGATAAAAGAATTCCAAGAATCTTCTGGCAACTTATCTGCATCGAATTGTGTAAACAATGTGTTAGATTCCAAACCCAGAAAATTCCAATGTAACCCTTCAGAAAAAATTACATCATTTATATTTTCTATTAATACCCACCTTTTTGCTCACCCATAGTTGAAAAAACAACTTTGCAATTTTATTTTTTGGGGTTAAAAGTTTGCTGTTCTGTCAAAAGACAAAATCATTTTCATTTACTTTTCATGTCACTCCATAACCCATGTACCCACTCATCTTCTTCAACTCACTCTCTCTTATCTTTTGTGTTGGGGCATTTGGAATGCAAGGGTTAATGACTTGGTGATAAATGGAAAACTAATCGCTGTACCGGATTGCATTGAATTGTTGCTGCATGCATTGGTATGAGGTTACAGATTGCCAGAGACTTGGGTTTAGAAAGGTTAATTATTCTTGAATGGATGTTAAGAATTTAATCTCCAAATTATCAAGTGAAGGATATATTTTCATATGCAACTGTAACCTTTGAAAAATGGCAGCTGCTATATTTGATTTTCCCTCCATAGCCTTAAATGCTAGTTTGACTAGTGTGTAGTTAAGTCCCTATAAAAGGAATATCAGTTTGTACGTTTCATTTGCAATCCATTCCAGCTGAATTGTACTCAGCCAATACAGCTGAGTGTTTTCTCAAATATCTTGCTTGATTTCTTTACATTTCTTCGACAGTGAAAATGAGAGAGGTGTGATATAGTTTGTAAACTTATTGCCCACGTTATTTGGTATTAGTTTGTAAACTTTATACCAACAATCACTTCTAAACATCGTCTTAGTTTTGTGCCTAAATTGGTGTAAACAACACATGAATTAGTAAAAAAACTTCTGTAACGAAATGTTCTTCTCAGTCTCCTTCTTCATTACCTTACCAACTGCCATCTCAAAATCTTCTTGCATCACATGAACCCTCCTCTCCCTCAAAGCAAACATCCCCGCTTCTGTGCAAACAGCCTGCAGCCAGGAGAACGAAGACAGTGTTTTAATATGTGCACACAAAACCCTGACTTCCTAAGAAACCTCTGAGATATAAAATACCTTCATCTCTGCACCAGATGCACCATTCATCTTCTCTGCAATCCTCTTCAAATCAACTCCACGCCTTAAATTCATTTTCCTTGAATGTATTTTCATGATCTCCCAACGAGACTGCAGTATGTTATATGCATTAGTAAGTATTCTTTTTAAATAAAAGCTATGACTTCTATGAAATTTTCTGTTGTTTGTTATACCCTCATCAGATAACAACTTTAAATAAGTGGACTTATATTACATAAATGCGAATTGTTTAGCAGTGACCAACCTCCGTTAACGACATACAAGAGCAAAACTTAAATGTTCACCTATGAATGCATAAATAAACCTCCAAACATTAATCCATGGTGTAGTGAGTGGCATGTACCTGTTCAGTAGGATTTGGAAATTTAATCTTCTTGTCAATTCTTCCTGGCCTAAGGAGTGCTTGATCCAGAATATCAATACGATTTGTGGCCATTATAACCTGTATAACCCACAATTTAAAAATGGTGGTTGTCATATGAAAGATATGTTAGAAATATTACATTGTGTTTCGATATCAATGAATCCACATTCTGTATAGTACCTTGATGTTGCCTGATGCCTCAAATCCATCAAGCTGGCTGAGAAGCTCTAGCATAGTCCGCTGCACCTCACTGTCTGTTCCACCACCAGATTGCACACGAGCAGATCCAATGCTGTCGATTTCATCCATAAAAATAATACATGGAGCATATTTCCTAAACAAAATATAAAGTTAGAAATACAGTAAGTAAATGGGAAGCAGAAGGATGAGACAAAGCAGATTAGCAGCCATAAGTCTATGCAATAATCATATTTCATTTCATTCAATTTGGCAGGCTAAAAAGAAGTAGATCAGCGAATAATCCACAAACAAAATCTTTGCAGCAGAGAAAGGTAAACATATGTTCAAAAGCTCAGGGACCAAAAAGCTATTGTTCTTTTGTTTCTTCTAGTTGCCACTAGCAAGGATACCACTGTATGAATATATTTCAATACCATTGATGCCTGACATCACAATTACAAATAAAAAGCTTTCTAGTTCAGAACTTCTCTTCATGAATTAGATTCTCAGCGTAAATCTGAGCATAAAATAAGACTCGAGAAATAGAGCAACAAAATTCAAAAAGAAGGTAACAAACATAACAAGTGGAGACAGAGAAACAGAAAATCAAGATTAGTCTCCATAAAAAGAGATCAAAACAAACCTGGCCAGGAAAAAAAGTTCTCTAACCATCTTAGCGCCTACCCCAATGTACTTCTGGGCTAACTCAGTTGCAGAAATGTGCGCGAAAGAACATTTAGCATGATGAGCTACAGCCCGAGCCAACAGTGTTTTCCCAGTGCCAGGAGGCCCATAAAGCAGGACGCCCTGTCATATGGAAGAGTGAGTTTCAGGGCACAAATGTAACACTTAGTGCCTACCAAGTAAGCAAAGAAACAAACGCAAGAACTTGGCAGCATATATCTACCTTTGGTTCAGCTATACCAAGGAGCTCAAATAATTCAGGATGTCTGATTGGAAGTTCAATGACCTATGAAGATGATCATATACCGTTAATGATGAATGCAGAAGAATGCGAAGAAATAATGTAACAGAAACCATCCAAATCCCAAAAACCGCACTAGCAATGAATTGTAAATTCAGAGAGTAGGAATGTGCAGAAGAAAACCTCCTTTATTTCTTTGATTTGCTCATCAAGACCACCAATCATATCATACGTACATTCAGGATTATTTTGAACTTTCGAAAGTTTGACGGCAGGATCAAATTTTTTTTCCAGTATTGCATGAATAGTATAGCTGCGTCTTCGGAGAGCAACTCTTGTTGATGGTTTGAGCTCTGTGACATCAATGTTTTCATCAACATCAACAACATGCATCCCTTCTCCAACAATCTGGAAATTGAAAAGAAACAGAAGTGGGCACAACAAAAAAAGTATCAAACAACTTGGTTAGCATACCGAAGAATCTGCGGTGAAAACAAGCATACAAATAAAGCTGATGTTAGCAAAGAAAATGCACAACCACTTACCCTAACCAAAACCATGTGCTTGTCAATTACTTGTCTAACTAAACCAACATGAGAATAAGATCCAGGGTCCTGAAGCAGCGGGACTTCTTCCTTAATCTTTCTCACTGTTCAATTCACAAAATTCAATTTATCAATCCAACAAAATAATTCCATGAACACAAGATCCACACTTTACATTCACATTGCAACTAAGTCGAAACTCGGATTTGGTAGTTGACATCATGGTTGGCATAACCCGAAAAAAAGTTGCTTCCTCGCTTAAGTACATAAACAATAGATGCTTTTGCTTAAAACATATTACTAACCGAAACCAAAGAACAAAACTTTTCATTAGATCCCAGTTCTCACAATAGAAACAGGGTTGCATCTCAACATTTACTCAAATAATCACACCCAGAAACAGATTCCAATCCAAATTTTTAGTACCCAATTTCAAACATACCCAAGAAAGTCAGTACCAAATTCCAGTTTTCAATCTATGGTATTTCCTCAGAGCAAACGATAGTTTTGATATACTAGTGAACTCAAAATGTCTTCTTTCTTATCAATATTTACACCCCCAATCCCAAATATTAGTACACTAACAAAATCAAGAAACAACATCACAGAGCAAGAATCGAATCAGAAAACCCTAGGGACCAGTACCAATCGCAAAACACTAAGAATCAGCGTCAGGGCTTAAAATGTGAGATAAAAATCGAACCTTGTGAGTTGAGAATGCTGGTTTCAGCTTCGAGACGAAGGAGATGCTGCTCCTTCTGGTGGAGCTGGTGCAGGACGTCGTGGATTTTTCGGATATAGTAGTGTCTGATACCCTTGAATTGGGTGGCAGCCATGGGAGATTCTTGAGAGCTTTTAGTTTCTTTTCAGGTGTTCTCTGTAACCCAAGACTGAAAATGCCAAACTTAAAACGTAGTAGAGACTTGACTTACATTCCAAGTCATTACAGGGATTTTAATTGACACCGAAAAGTTATTTTCAGACCTGCGTCCCATGTGTCATATTTTGATTAGGAGACGTGTTATATTCAGTTAGTAACTGTTTGTGGTCAGTTTGATTACTGGAATTAGTTAGTTGTTTGTTAATTTAGGCGCCAAAACGGTCACTTTTTTTTTGTTTTTTCTAAATACAAGCGATAGTCTAAATTATAAGGGAGATGGTGTTTCTCACACACACTATCAATATGTCATGAAGGTTCGAGCATGAGACCATTGATATGCAACTTAAAACTTTTTTTTATTAGACTAGACCGTTGGCAAAGAGAAAAAAGAAAAAAATCCTCCTTTTGGGTCTCTTTATAGTTTCACGAATTTGGACAAGTCTATTTAGGCCTTTCCGTTTCCAATTTATAAACCCAAAAGGCCAACCAAAGCGAAGTGGACGCTGGTAGTGGTAAATGGCAGTTCGAAGCCTGAGCTTATTTACAGCCGTCCGATTCGAAGCCCCCAAATCCAACGGTGCTCCTCTTCCTCATACACGGCATCAAGACCCTTTGCCCCGACTCTCCGTCACCAAGCCCTCTTGGGTCGTCCGCACAGAGGCAAGTTATCAAGTTCAACACTTTTATACTTCATATCTTTCTTTTTCTTTCTTTTGGCTCCTTTAAAATGGTGGAAGGTAAGAGAATGCAAGTAAAAGTAGAGAATTTAAAGAGTTGATGTTCAGATGTTGGGCTTCCGGAACGACCAGATGGGTGCTCTGTGTTGGGTTTGTTTAAAATGGAATTTTTAGTAGGTGAATTGTATGTTTTGTTTTTCAAAATCTCTGGTTTTAGTTGGGTTTTCTGTATTTTTGTTGATTATGATTTTGAATATATTCATCATGTATTGCTTCACTCATATAGTGACTCTTTCAGCATGGGATTTCATTATCAGATTTGGAACTGTGAAATAAGATTGAAATGTATGCACTGAAATCATTGTGTTCTGGTGGAACTACTTATCCACTGACGTTAACACTGAAACCATATTTGTGAATATAATACGCTCCTAATACCTTTTTTTATTTTAACTATTACATATATTCAAGTGCCTATATTGACATTAGTTTGTTTGTAACTTTGTAGGAGTTTATCAAAATTATCTCCACTGACATTGAGTTGGGACCTTACTAAATTCAAAGGGATGGAAATGTGACGTATTATTTCGTGTTTTCTATGTTTAACTTTTCGACCACCTCTGTTTGTTGCAGTCAAATGTTCACAGAGAAGTAAGAAGGAAGCCGGATCCACCTTGTGAGGTCTGCACAGGGAGTGGAAGGGTCAATTGCCATGATTGTTATGGAACAGGTCTATCTCTTTCTTTCCCTCTTATGTACGCAATGTGTTCTATGTATTCTCATTTGCTCATCTTTCAGAATTTGGATAATTGACTTTAATTTGACACGAGCAGATGTTGAATTGTCTCCTTTAGTGTAGCTTGTGTGCCACCCTAGAAGGTCTGCCTTTTCTTTATGAACCTAAAACCCGAATATTTCAATAGTTCTGAATCATACAACAAATTTAGTTCAGCTTTCCAAAGTTATGAAAGTTGTACAGGAATCACAGCCAAAAGTTCCTCGAGCCTTTGACATCTTAACCAAAAGAATGCTTTAAGATTTTTACATGTTCCCACAGAAGTCTGACGGTTTTTGAGAGAGGTTGAGATTCAAAAGTTTCACCATCAGTGTATGCAACTAACTGTGGGGAACTGAACTTCACCATCACATTTGTTCATTACTATGAAGACTTAACTGGCCCCTGTTTAAAGTTTTTGAATACAATTGTGTTTTACTTACATAAGGATTTCACTCGCCTATAGAAGTAGTTTTCAGATGCACACATCTTGCCTTTACTTAATAAGATCCAATTTATCAGGGGATCACAACCTAACTTCAGCTGACCTGTGATGTACACATTCTTGTTAAAAGAATTTCTTAACCAACACTGAGGTTAGGCAGGTCAATATACAGCAAACATATGAACATGATCCTGCTTTATACAGATGTACTGGTCATTTGCACCCAGTCCTTTTTTTCTTTTTTCCTTTCTCTATTGGTGAAATTTTAACTTCAGACTAAACCCCTCACCCAACTGCAACTCAACCTTTAAGCTTTGAATTTAGCTCAAATGTACTCAATACTCTGGTCCGGAAAGTAGATGTTTAAAATCCTGATGTCTATTGAAAGACAAGGAGATCCGCTGTCCTCGTTTCTGTTTACGTTGGTTAGTGACGTTTTGAGCAGATTTCTTGAAAGGGCTCAAGAATTCAATCTAATACATGGGTTTGTTTCTGGACAAGACTACGTAGAAGATTCTCATCTCCAGTTCGCTGATGACACTATTTTTTTTCTGGACGACAAGGAGGAGTCTTGGGTAAATTTGCAGGAGGTGTTGGATTTGTTTAGTAAAGTCTCAGGAAAGAAAATAAATAAGGCTAAAAGTTCCCTCTTCGGAATTAATTTCAGTAACGATTCTCTGGAAGCCATTGCGGGTAGCTGGGGTTGCGAGGTGGGTAGTTGGCCTATGGTGTATTTGGGTCTTCCTCTTGGAGGAAATCCAAGAATTCTTACATTCTGGAACCCAGTAGTGGAAAAGGTAGAGAAACGATTACAAAATGGAAACGGGCTTGTTTATCGAAAGGCGGAAGGCTAACTCTAATTCAGGCGGTGTTAAGTAATATCTCCCCATATTTTTTGTCTCTTTTCAAAATGCATGTAGGTGTTGCTGCCAAGGTGGAACAACTGATGTGCAACTTCTTGTGGGAGGGAGCAGAGGAAGGAAAGAATGTTCACCTTGTGAATTGGGAGTAGGTGTCCAGAATTAGGGAAGCAGGAGGGCTTGGCATTGGGTCCTTGAGAGAAAGAAACGAAGCCTTGAGGGCAAAATGGTTGTGGAGATTTCCAATTGAAACCAATGCTACGTGGCATAAGGTAATTAAGAGCAAATATGGACTAGACTCCAATGGTTGGGATTCTAAACAGACAGTAACAGGTTCTTGTAGGAATCCTTGGCTTGATATTTCGAAAGGGTATAAATCTTTTTTTCAGTGTTGCTGATTTTCTGTTGGCAATGGAGAAAAGGTTAGATTTTCGGAGGGTTATTGGTTGAAGGAAGGTTTATTGTGGGAATTATTTCCTAGACTATTCTCCCTGTCCAGGAAAAGGATCAATGTATTTCAGACTTTGTTATCGACGCAGTGATACCTCACAATTGGGATTTTGGTTTCAGAAGGAATTTGACTGAGGCCGAGATTGCAGAAGTGATATTACTTCTGGATATTCAAAGAGAGGTACATCTAATTCATACGAGATCGGACAGATTTGGGAGACTGAGGACTATGGGTCGTTTTTGTGCAAATAATTTAGGTCTTTTATCCTGTCTAATGGCACGAGGGATGTTTTCTCCCCTTTCGCCTTAGTTTGGAAGGTGAAGACTCCCCCGAAAGTTAAGTTCCTTCAGTGGCTGGTTGCGAATGGGAAAGTTAACACTTGCGATCTTATTCAAAGGAGGAGCCCGAAGATGTGTTTATCTCCTTACTGGTGCATTCTGTGCAGGTCGTGGGCAGAAAACATTGATCATCTATTCATTCACTGTTCGTACTCACTAAATCTATGGTGGAAACTGTTAAACGAACTTGGAGCCGTTTGGGTGATCCCTAGAGGTTGTATTGAGCTCCTTAGTCCCAAACTGACAGTTCTGAGGAAGGGGAAGAGAGCTCGAACTTTATGGGACTGTCTTGTTCATGCTATTTTCTGGAATTTATGGCTGGAACGCAACAGAAGAATCTTTCAGGGGTATGATGGAGTGAGATCCGAAGAACTATGGGATAGAGTAAAATTTTGGGCTTCTCTTTGGGCATCTGTCTCTGGGCATTTTAAGGATTACCATTATTCTATTATCTTGAGAGACATGAGTGCTGTCTTAAGATAAGTTTACTTAAGTTGTGCTTTAGCTTCTAACCTATCCTTGGTTGGAGTAGTTTTAGATGAATCTTTCTTGCTTCCTGCTTATAATGAGCAGGTTCTCTCTTTGTTGTATAATCGAGGATAGCTTTTCCTCTTGACAATCAATACAAATGTTTCCATTCAAAAATAAAATAAAATAAATTTGAGTGCAGTCCTGCTGCATCAGCTTTCGCAATAGATTTCAGACTTGCTTGGATGTTTCTTTGTTCTGTTTTGAGTGTTTGGCTAGGTCTGTGGGTTCTTATGTCTGTTTCCAAATGCTTTTTTTTTGTTTTTTGGTTTTTGTTCAGATTCTTATATTTTTTTTATCGGCTATATGATAGGGAGGACAAACTCAGTTGACATGCGAATACTCCCCAAAGGGGAATGGCCAAAATGGTGAGGTATCAAGACTTTTCATACATTTTATACTGAGAATTCTACCCTGTTATGAATATGCTCACATAAACTGCCTTCAACCACTCTTGCAGGTGCAGGACTTGTGGTGGAAGTGGTTTAGGTTACTGCTCCCGCTGCCTTGGGACTGGAGAGTATCGATATATAATGGGCTTTCAATTCATGAAGATGGATTCTTCTCATAACCGAGACAACAAGAATGAGGTTCAAAGGAATCAAGACCGCCGTACTGCTGCAGATTTCTATGAAGAATAGTTAACTTTAGGCCCTAAAATGTGAAAGCTCAGTCGGAGTAGAAAACAACCCTTGTGTATAGAGCAGATTTGCTAAGAACGGTAATAAAATAGGGAGGGAAAAGCAGAGGTGAGAAAGAGAGATAGCAACCCATGTTGTATTTATACATATCAGTAGACAGAGTCTATTCTGTGCCAAAATTTGGTTATGCCAAGTGGAAATGCTATTAATGCAGATAGAAAAATGAGGGATATAGAGGTTCAATTATTATTCAATACAAATTATTGTTTTATACTGTCGGAGTCAAAACTAAAAGAAACATTCCATACAGTTTTATTAGTTCTCTCATACTTGGATCTTTCCAAGGAATAAAAGTATTTTATTATGCAGCTAAAGTCCAAAGTTGCCTGTGTCAATTAACAAACTAAAGGGAGATTCACTATTATACCCAATATAGGAGCCCCAATTACAAAAAAAGCCTATATGAAATGGACTAAAAACACACCCAAAGTCCATTTACAACGTAACAAAAAGGCATTTAACTTCTTTTAAATTACAAAACTGCCATTGATTTCTTAACAAGACAAAATTAGAAAGAATTTAACAATAGAATACTGGGGATACTCTTTTTCACGGGTAAGAACTCTCTTTATTCTATATCGCAAGTAGGTGAGGGTGTTGGGTTTATATAAAACTCATTACACCTCTTTTTGAAACATAAGTAGCGTTTCATTTGAAAAGTTACAGACACATCTCTATGGAGATAAGACCACTTAATCATTTGAATCCCACCGATTAATTATTAATTATCACTTTAAAGGATAACTAAGTGCAAAATAAAGGGTGCATTTTTGCTCACCACCTTAACCCAGGCCCTGTTTGGTACATGGGAAATGAGACTTGGGGATGAGAAATCAATTACTTTCCCATGTTTGGTAAGTCCAGGCATGGGAAATCGTTGTCTGGCCCATGGGAAAGTAGGGGGGAAAGTGAAGCCATCCTCCCAACTTGGGTTTTGTTTTCCCTCCTCATGAGAAAGTTTGGGGAAATGAACCAACATTAAATACACATTTTTCATGACCATTTTGTTCCCATTAACAATTTAGAATTACAATATATTATTAAATGCATTCTTTTAAAAAAAAAAAATTTAATATGAGTATATTTGAAAATTTATACAAACTTTGTTTTCCATTCCTATGCAAAACAAACATGGGAAAGGAAATAAAGTGCTATCTCCCAGTTACTTTCCCGGCATTACCAAACGTGGGAAAAAAATCTTCCATTTCCCATCCCTTGGGAAACGAGAAATGACATGGGAAATGATTTCACCTCAAATTCATTCCATGAACCAAAGAAGAAAAGAGAGCAAAGAAGATTTGGATGTAAGGCAATACTTGGGATCAAACTTAATCGAGATGGAAAATATGTTGTGAAAAACTTTGTAGCTGAACATAATCATAATCTTGTTCCATTATCAAGTTCACATTTGTTGAGGTCACAAAGAACAATAGAGCCTTCTCAAGCAGGATTCATCAATCAAATGCATCATGCAGGTCTAAAGCCATCTCAAATCTTCTCATACATGACAACAAAAGCAGGAGGGCCTTAACATTTAAATTTCATTCAAGCTGATTGCAACAATTTGATTATGAGAAAGTGCACTGAATTTCAAAAAAGAGGCGACTCACAATGTTTGCTTGAATATTTCAAGCAAAAGCAAGCTCAAGATAAGTCATTCTTTTATTCTATTCGAACAAACATGGAGAATGAAATATGTGGTTGTTTTTTTTGTGATGGAAAAGCAAGACGTGATTATGCTATATTTGGTGATGTTATGTGTTTTGATACGACATTCAAAACGAACAACTACAACATGGTGTGTGCTCCGATCATTGGGCTTAATAATCATGGGCAGACCATACTTTTTGGATGTGGTTTGCTAGATGGAGAGAGTACTGACGCATGTGAGAGAGTACTGACGCATGTGAGTGGTTATTTAAGGTCTTCTTACAAGCTAATGAAGGAAAAGAACCAAAAACCATATTTACATATCAAGCTCAATCAATTGCTGCTGCAATCATCGAAGTATACAAGTAAGTTGTTCTATTGTTTCCAAGATGAGTGTAAGAAACTTTTAGGTTTGAGGCTGAAATTACAAAGTGATGATGGGCTAACACATAGATATATGGTTATGAATTCTGGAATGAGAGGAATGAGCAGATCACTTACATATGACCTTTCTGATCAAACGGTCAGTTGCAGCTATAAAAAGTTTGAATTTGAGGGGATTCTTTGTGCACATGCACTAAAATTATATGATGAATTAGAGTTCTCAACTCTACCATCTAAGTATTATTTAAAGAGATGGAGCAAGGAAGCTACATGTGATGTTGACTTTGATTCGAATCAGGAAGCACCTTTGAGTACTCTAGAGTCATCTTCCATGGTTAAGTATAGCGAGTTATCTCATACAGTACAAAGAATCATAGCAAAGGGTGCAAGGAACAACCAAACATGCACTTTTTTGAAGTCGGAATTGTTACAGTTAGAGGCAAAATTAGAAAAACATCCATACTTTGGGGACGAACACGATGAAATTCTTGATAAGCATGTTAGTGAAGATGAGGATAATCTTAAATTGCGAGATTCAAAGATTCAAAAGTTGAAAGGTAGAGGAAAAGGTAGAATTAAAAGTTCTTTGGAATCAAAGCCATCTAAAAAGAAAGGTTCATCTAAAAGAAAAGGTTAGTAGTTAGTTGATCAACTTTTTTTTGTTCATTATTTACTTTATGTCAATCTAATTATCGTTTAATTGTTTTACAGCGTCTAAGGAAATTAATTTATCTGCACATGAGATAAGAGGACACTCAAATTTATATACACATGTTCAGGTATATAATTTTTGTAATTTTTTTTAACATTGGCATTCTCAAAGTATATTTTTTATGTACTGATTGGAATTTAATATTTAGGAATCAATTGGAATGTCAACTCAAAATCATTTCAATATGGCATTTGTATGCAAAGTCGCAGATTTTCAGTACGGATTTCCAACTGTTTCTAGTGTTCAAGGGATTCCAAATCACCCACTTGGATACCAAGGTATACATCCAATGTTGTCCAATTACTCACTTATACATCCACAGGTTTGTTATCTTATATCCTATCTCGTTTGGGCCAGCAATCCTCCTTACCGTGGTTGTGCTTTGGGGATTTTAACGAAATCCTAAGTAATCAAGAGAAGAGGGGTGGTCTCTTAAGATCTGAATGGCAGATGGATAATTTCAGAGATGCCCTCGCTGATAGTGAGCTTTCTGACCTCGGCTTCTTAGGGAGTCCTTTCACTTGGTCTTCTTCCAGGTCTGGTGGGATTTCTTGCAGGTTGGATCGTGCTGTTGCTAACTTTCCTTGGCGGGACAAGTTCCCCCATCATCGTGTGGTGCATTTGGCTCCTAGTAAATCTGATCACTTGCCCGTTCTTATCGAGGTGCGTACTGGTGTCTCTCGGACTGCTTCTCAATCAAGGCGTAGATTCCGTTTTGAGGAGTTTTGGCTCCAGCATTCGGAATGTGAGCAGATAGTTCGGTCTAGTTGGAGCACTGCTGCTCCCGGAGTGCCTATGGCTCAAGTGTGTGAGAAACTCAAAGCAACCAGGTTTGCTTTACTTCACTGGAACAGACACACCTTCGGTCATTTTAAGGCTGAATTGGAAGGAATCCAGAACAATCTTGAGGTCCTTTGGAATTTGCCCCCTTCTAGTCTGGTGCAAGCTCAGCAGAAGTCCTTGATGGGGCAACTCGACTCCCTCCTTTCTCGCGAGGAAATTTACTGGCGACAACTCTCTCGCTCGCTGTGGCTTAAGAATGGGGATCGGAATACTCGGTACTTTCACCAGCAAGCCTCAAATCGGAAACGTAGGAATTGCATAAAGGGGCTTAAAGATGCTCTAGGAGTCTGGCACGACGATGAAAACGGCATTAAGGTCATCGTTCTGGATTATTTCAGAAAGATTTTCTTGGCGCAGGGAGAGAATACTTCCGCTGTTCAGGAGGTGTTAGAGGTGGTTGAGCCCAAATTCACTAGTACTATGAATGATGCTTTGTGTTTAGAATTTTCAGCCGAAGAGATTAGGTTGGCTTTGTTTTCCATGGCCCCCTCCACTGCCCCTGGCCCTGATGGTATGGCTCCAGTCTTCTTTCAAAAATTCTGGAATATCGTCGGTGATGATGTGGTCTGTGCAGTTCGCTCTTTCTTGTTGGGGAATGGTTTTCTTAAACAAATCTGCTTCACTCATGTGGCCCTGATTCCTAAAACTCAGTCTCCTCAGGATATGTCGCAAATCCGCCCTATCAGTCTTTGTAACGTGCTTTATAAGATTGCTGCAAAGGTTTTGACGAACCGACTGAAACCAATGATGGACTCGATTATATCTCCCTTTCAGAGTGCCTTTGTCCCTGGGCGTTTGATTTCTGATAACTCTCTTGTTGCGGCAGAGATTGCGCACCATTTGCATGGCAAGCGTGGTGGGAATTTAGGTTCCATGGCTGTTAAACTAGATATGAGCAAGGCTTACGACCGGGTTGAATGGTCTTTTTTAAGGGCTATGATGTTGCGGCTGGGTCTGAATCTCCAGTGGGTTGATATGATCATGAGATGTGTTACTTCTGTCTCTTATTCCTTTTTGATTAATGGAGTCCCTACAGGCTTTGTGGTCCCCTCTCGCGGGTTGAGACAAAGGGATCCCTTATCCCCGTATTTGTTCCTTTTGTGTGTGGAAGGGTTGTCTGCTCTGATTTCTAGTAGAGAGCGGGATGGTTTAATCCATGGGGTTAAAATTTGTAGGAACGCCCCAAGTATACATCATTTACTCTTTGCAGATGACAGCTTCATTTTTGCTAGAGCTTCTAGGGATGAATGCTCTCAAGTGATGAAAATTCTGCGGTCTTATGAACTAGCCTCAGGTCAGGTTGTCAATCTCCTAAAAAGCAGCGTGGTCTTCAGCAAAAATGTGAAGGAACACACTCGTGCTGTGCTTTCTAATATTTTGGGGGTGCTTTGTGTCTCGGTCCATGAAAAGTACCTTGGTTTGCCTACCTTTGTGGGTCGGGGCCAAACGCATGGTCTTTGCTTCCCTCAAAGAAAAGTTGTGGAATAAGCTTAAAGGGTGGAAAGGTAAGCTTTTGAGTGGGGCTGGTAGGGAGATTTTGATTAAGGCAGTGGCTCAATCTCTGCCAACTTACACCATGAACTGCTTTTTGCTTCCT